AAATAAGTAATAAATAATAATTATTAATTATATTTTCACATAGAAGTTGTGCCAATGCATGTTTTATGGTTGGATAGGAGAGTTGGGTTTTTCTCATCCCATAAAACATTAAAACTTAAGARTTATAATTTATAAATTATAGTTAAGCATAGGATTTTCAATGAAATTATAATTAGCTATAATATATTTCTTCATAAAACCTTTAGAATATATTAATTTAATGTATATACACCACACCTCTTTGAGGTCTTATATTTAGTGTTGTTGGTGTATTTTTATGATTTATTAAAGTATTTATAGTGTTTCCAAGCGTATCTTAGTTTTTCTCCGATACGCATGCGTATCCAAGGTGTATCCCGGTACGTCTCTTAAAATTGCCTTTCCGATACACTTGGCGTTTCCGATACTTTGAACCTTGCTAATAACAGCTACCATCTCTTTCATACATTTCTTTTTCTCCTTGAAGATCCTTCTATCTATTTCCTTCCATATTTCCCAGCAAACAACAAAGGGAATACATGTCCAAAGGATCTTAACTTTTACTCTACCTCAAATCCTTGGCCAACAACTAAAACTTTTACTACAGTAGGGAGGCAAAATCATTGGCCATCAATTTTCAATAGCTCATTCAGATGGCATTGAGGTTGACTTTACACTCTAGCTGATAGTCTGACTAGAGGAGTAGAGAGGGATTCTTTCTTGTTGGGGGAAGGTTATTATCTGAAACTCTTCACTTTTAAAACATTCTCTAACTGACCCTGACTTTTTGATACCTCCAGAGCGCCCCCTGTCAGTGACTTATTTATAACATATATACCTTCCATCATGTCAATATTAGCAACTTTAACAGAATTGGTACACATGTGCCATTTTCATTTTTTAATGACAAAAATAACCTTGACCAACTAGTCTACCCTATTAACTAATTTTTATATAACAAAAATGCCCTTGGTTTATTTCTGTCTCCTATTCATTGCTTGTTTCATGTTTGCTCATCTCATGAGTGAATAAATAGGCCCTTGGTTCCATTTTTATATAACAAAAATGCCCTTGGTTCCATTCACCTACCAGAGTTCAATTTGAGTGAATAAATAGGCCTGCTTTTAGGATTTTGGTTCAAAGGATGGAGTTGAATAGAGGGGTATCATTGTAATTTTGCAAATACCTCTAGTTTTCTAACGGCAAATGTCTAGCCCGGGGGGGGGGGGGGGTCCTTGGAGGTATTAAAAAGTCAGGGGATGTCCAAGAGAGACAGAAAAGTTGAGGGTTGTTCAAATAATAACCCACAGGTATGCCATGCTAGCTTTTGTATTCTATTTTTACTTGTAGTCCTTTTTTTTTTTTGATCAGAAACGATAACTTTCATTAGAGATAAATTAGCCTGAAATACGGAATTCAACCCTTATTAGAAAAGGTTGATCCAATAAACATCAAACATTACAGCACTGCCCAAAAAAGACTCTCCCTTGCAGTCCCTTGTTTTGCTAGGGCGTCAGCAAAACCATTTGCTGATCTCCTTACCCACTTGAACCAAACACCCCCCTCCCTTGT